ACTGTATATATATATATATATATATATATATATATATAGGTTTAATTTACTTTAAATATATGTATAAAATGATTTTAAAATATATATTTGAATGTATTTAAATAATATCAAATTCAATTTAAATAATGTAATAAAATAAAATAACTCCAGATATATAATTGGATACATAAGCTGTATATCTGTGGAGAAAATCAATTGAAATGTATTTAAACTACATAATACACTTTAATTTAAATTACATAATTGAATGAAGTAATTTAATGAAATAAAAAATAAAAAATTCTAGATAAATAATTGGACACATATATGAACTATGGAAGTTACACTTTACTTAAAATGACCAGAATTTAAGATATGGATAAATATCCTCTGAACAGACATCTTGGTCAGTCACGGTGCGATGCATTTTGACACTGAACAACTCTGTTATAAAAGGAATTAGAGAGAAACAGCTGCGGTCTACAGGCCACACAAACACTCCTCACCGAGCGACAGGCCCGTCACGTGACCTGGGCCACAAACACACACCGGCTCAAATATAGAACATGCCCATAAAAAGCCACAGAATGCAAGCACAGTCCCACACACACACATATTCAGAGAGAGAGAAAAGCCAGAGGTTTAGGGCAACTGTCCAGCATCCCTCCTGGGAGCTACACGCACTTCACACTACTGATGGAGAGGAACAATGGCTAAACATAGTGTGTGTGATTGAGAGAATGTTTGAAGGATATATTTATATATGCATGAACACACAAAAAAAATGTATTTGAGAATTATTGTGAGGCTGAGCTGGTGCAAATGCGCGCACAGTAGAGTACTACAGAGATCGTCGCCAGTCTTTTCTTAGGATATCTAATTCAGGTTGAGTGATTTTCCATTCATATTTGTGTGAATCCATTTGCAGAAATACCCTCCTATCCTCACCAATGCATTTGACCGTTGCAGTTGTGGCTATTTGTTTTTATTTAATTGTTAGATATAACCACTACAACGTGAGATTGTTGCTGCAAGGTTGTTGGGAAGTCGTGGCCTAATGGTTAGAGTCAGACTTATAACCCAAGGTTACGGGTTCGAGTCTCGTACCAGCAGGGATTGTAGGTGGGGGGAGTGAATGTACAGCGCTCTCTCCCACCTTCAATACCACGACTGAGGTGCCCTTGAGCAAGGCACCGAACCCCCAACTGCTCCCCGGGCACCGCAGCAAAAAATGGCTGCCCACTGCTCCGGGTGTGTGTTCACGGTGTGTGTGTGTTCACTGCTGTGTGTGTGCACTTTGGATGGGATAAATGCAGAGCACTAATTCCGAGTATGGAACCATACTTGGCCACATGTCACGTCACTTTATTCCTCAATGCAATATAGGATTTTTTAGGATAGGATCCTTATAATAAGCATTAGGTCTGCTTAGAAAAGGAATAACACAATTCTCCATAAGTTGCATGATTTAAGGTATAATTTATGTCTGTTGCGCAAACGGTGCAAGACAAACATCTTATGGGATTTTCTGCCAACGGCCATTAGTTTGTCACATACAGATCAGAGATTTGGCCCTCAGTTGTGTAAATCACATTGAGTGCAGTAAACATTGAATCTTTGTTCAAATTAAACCGGAATCACTTTTAAAATCGAAATAAAAAACAGAAAAACATCACTAAATATCACAAACAGTTCCGCTACAGCACTTTTCCTACCACTTGTGTGTTTATTATCCAGTGTTTGATTCTCCATCCTACTTTTGTCCAGTAGCCTTTGGCCTGAGATCTTCTTCCTGTTTGGGCAACGTGAACCAAAGTCCGATGACATGACATCACGCTGGCCCCCTGCACTTCCCCCTGGCTACTGTGTGAATGTATTGGGAATGTGTCGCATTGGCATTTTTTTAAAATGGGAGAGGTAATCCCTATGTGAACAGAAACCGTAGTCGCATGGCTGACCACATTGCTCAGAATAGTATGGAGGAGAGTAAGAGTTCGGCATTACAGCGGAACAGAGCTTTTAAGTTGAAAAGCACTGAATTTATATCACCCTTAAAGAAACAGTTCACCCCAAAATTAAAATCTTGTGTAAATTTACTCACCCTCAAGACATTCAAGATGTAGATGAGTTTGATTCTTCTTCGGAACAGATTTTGAAAAGTTTTGCATTACATTAATTGCCCACCAATGGATCCTCTGCAGTGAATGGGTGCCGTCAGAATAAGATTCTAAACAGCTGATAAAAATATCACAATAACCTCATGCAGCAAAAATCTGTTTGTTTGTAATAAACAAAATCATCAAGACGTTTTAACTTTAAACCATTGCTTCTGGCTAAAATAAGAGTCCTCTTTCCATAATATTGATTTCTCCAGTGAAAAAGTTGTCTGATTCAGAAGTTATTAACAAGTGAAACACTCCAAAACAGTTTTAAACAAGTATGTTGGTGGATATTGATGATAGAGGACAACAGAGGATTGACTTTTTCATTGTAGACTTTTTGTATTTTAGTCAAAAGTGACATTTTAATGTTAAAATGTTTAAATTAATTGATTTTTTTAAACACAGCTTTTTGCTTCACAAGACATTCATTGATGGACTAGAGTCGTGTGGATTACTGTGTTGTTTTTATTAGCTGTTTGGACTCTTATTCTGACGGCACCCATTCATTGCAGTGGATCCATTGTTGAGCAAGTGATGTAATACTAAATTTCTCCAAATCTGTTCTGATGACGAAACAAACTCATATAGCTTGGATGGCCTGAGGGTGAGTAAATGTACAGCAAATGTTAATTTTTGGGTGAATTATTAATTTATAGGGACAGTTCACCCAAAGTAAAAATTCTGTCATTATTTACTCAGTAAAGAAACATTAAAGTGGTAAACACAAGATTTCAAGTTTTCAAAAGCACACAATAGCTGTGTGATATAAAAAAACCCTGAAGTTTAGGTCCATTATTCCATCTGTTTGGAAAATCTCTACCTGGAAAAAAGAAGACTTGTTTTCATTTTCCTCATAAGAAAAATTACATTTAAATCTGAAACACGAGGGTGAGAAAATAATGACAGAAATCTCACTTTTGGTGATCTTTACAGTCGACATGAAATGAAAATGCACCCTAACTATTTTCTAAATACATTCAATACATTGATCTCATTGTGACAATTCATCCATTCAGGTTTGTTTTTTTTTTACTTTTTTTTTTTTGGACTTAATCAAAATGCCATAAGTCCATCTTCCAGAGGAATGACAGACATCTCTCTAGTCTCTAGTGATGCATGCTAACTTCTTCAGTCATTTAGTCTGTGGTTATGTCAAAACAGTAGCATTCTTTAGGCTTTAACCAATTTGCATCCATCTAATCAACAACCAGCAGATAAAAGCACCCCACTTTTCTTCTATATTGAGACTTACGCTTCACTCAAACTAGTCACAATACAGAAGAAAAGATCTGATCAGACATATGTTTCATCGCAACTTTAAATTTCAGGTAGACATCTGTTAGACTGCACAGACTCAAGAGTCATATGGGTCATTTGCTGAAGAGACTCTCCCAGCAGGCACTTTTAGTCAAGCTAAACATTGTTATTATGGTGCTTTAAATATGACAAACTCTGTAGTGTGAGATGTGCTAACAGTGCTTTAATGCAAGTGGTTACTTCAGGGGTGTCCAAACTCGGTCCTGGAGTTTAGCTCCAACTTGCCTCAACACACCTGCCTGGAAGTTTCTTGTATGCCTAGGAAGACCTTGATTAGCTGGTTCAGGTCGGTTTAATTGAGGTTGGAGTTAAACTCTACAGGGCAGCGGCCCTCCAAGACACCCCTGGATTACTTCATGACCATAAAACTGTGAAATGTTACATGTCGTAAGTTTACATCTAATTGAAACGTATGAAATCATAAGCAGATATATTGGTTTGGTTATACCTTTGCCGGCTCCTTATGTGTCATGGTCATTTTGAGGAAAGCACGCTGGACCTGAAGGGCATTGCTCACCATCTCTGCCTGTTGGATAAAAAAATTCAAGCAACAACAAATTTATTTATTTTATATTTGTAATAGTATTGTACTTAATAGCATTTTGTGGTGGAACTAACATTATGAACATTTTTGCAATATGTCTTGCGAAGGCTAAGTTTCACCTAGCATTTTATGTATACGCACAATTAAATTATGATTTTGCACGTTTTGCATACTTTTTGAATTGAAAAGCTCATAATAACATTCTTTTAATAAATATGTGAAATGTAAATAATAAATATATAAAACATATTCATGTAAATATATAAATATATTCTGTTCACAAGTGATATTTACCTTTTTTGCTTTCTTTAATATAATGTTCATTCAATTAAAGTCAATCTTTTTTTTTGTATATTTCACCCTGTTTTCAAATTAACCCTATTATTAATCATATTATTTAGAATGTGAAAATATTTTTATGATGGATTTTAAGATTTAAAGTCTGGTTCTAGGACAATGATGAAACAACATCCATAAAGGGCATTTGAGAAGCAGCAAAAATTAAGGTAGAAAGATTTGAAGAAAGATTTACTGTGACCTTTATATAATAAAAAGTTCTGTTATATAAAAATCAACCTTGGGTACATAGAGTACCAAAGTTAGAGAAACGCCTAAATGCAGTCTTCAGTGTCACATGATCCTTCAGAAATCATTCTAATATGCTGATTTGGTGCTCAAGAAACATTTCTTATTATAATCATGTTGATAACAGTGCTGTTTAATAATTTTGTGCTAACCATTTATTTGAAATTTCTTGGAATCTTGGAACAATGAAAACTGACTGACCCCTGACTTTTTTCTATACTGCATATTATTTAAATAAATATTGTATTATATAATATTATTTAAACAGATATAGAAAATATAATATTTGACATATTATATTTAAAACATTAAAAAAACAAAAGCCAATTATTTATTTTTGAAAATGACAAGTTGTCTTTATTTACACTAAACTTACTATTTTACACACTATAAATGGGTTTGTATACGTGAAAATATACAGCTGCCTTTATATTTTAAGAAGAGAGTCCTTAGGGGATCATCATATCTGGACGTTGTTGGCATTACAAAGTTTGAAAACCCCCCAAAAGACCACATCTACACAGACCAACAGACCATGATAAGTTCCCACAAACATTTAGCACAGACAGTCTCTTTTTTCACTGAGCAAAAGATCCCGCACACACACACTCACACACTGTCAAAGAGCCATTTCTCATCTCTTATTAGGCCAAAAGAGAAACGTTTCCTCTCTAGAGTTGAGCTTGAGGAGGATTCCAGTGTTAACAAAGAGGACACATACATCCCTCTCCCACTTTCTTTCTGCTCTTTTCACCCATCCTCTCTCCCTCTTCTCATAATATTACATTCCATCACTAGAATGAGCCACTGTGCCTCTGTGTACACTAAGTACATTGTCCAGCGCCTCATTTCTCAAGCAGCTCTTTAGTTACCAATCGGTAGCGACTGGACATGAAATGTAAGCCATACAGACCGTTATGTACTGTCAGTCAAAAAGAAGCCCTAACATTTCAGTTATTGTTTGCAGGCCGTTAACTTGAAAAGTACCTAGTGTTAGGACAGATGGGACAGAAACACTTGCTGACAAATGATTGATGGTAAGGGCTCTTATGGAGCAAATGCACATTAATTCTGATGAAGATAATGACCAGGACATTTTATTTAATGTTTATCTTATTATAAAATTATTGTCAATTGCCAATAGCTTGGTCAAGAGACTGATGAGACATTTTTTAGTTCATATTGAAATCTTCTTGGTTGCAGATTTTTGTATTTCGGCAAATCTGAAAACAGTGTGACATTGTTGAGATCTCGAAATTCCTAAGCAAAAAGAGTGACCTTTAAGATACACTACAGTTCAAAAGTTTCGGTATTTGAAAGAAACTATTACCGTGAAAAAAAATGGATACTTTTATTCAGCAGGGATGCATTAAATAAATGAAAAGTGACAATAAAGACATTTATAATGGTACAAAAGAGTATTTATAAATGCTGTTCTTTTGAACTTTCTGTTCATCAAAGTATCCTGAAAAAAAAATGTATCACAGTTTTCACATTAATATTAAGCAGAAAAAACATTTTCAACATTAACAATAAGAAGACACGTTTCTTGAGCTCCAAAGCAGTATATTATAATGAATCACAGGAATAAAGAACATTTAAAAAAAATATTACACTATAAAATGGTTAATATTTCCCAATATTATTTTTACTGTACTTTTGGTCAACACCCTTGATCAACATATAATACTCTATTTCGAAAAAAAAAACACCATCAGACGTGTTTTTTTTATTACTCTTAGACTTTTTTGAAATATTTTATAACAATTCTGTAGTTAATATAACCTCTCTTAAAGGGGTCATATGATGCGATTTCAAGTTTTCCTTTCTCTTTGGAGTGTTACAAGCTGTGTGTGTGTGTGTGTGTGAGAGAGAGAGAGAGAGAGAGAGAGATACAGCGTCACATTACAGTAGAGTCAGCTGTCTTAACCGCTGCTTGTGTACTGCATTATTACTGTGTCTGTTCCCCTTTCGGGCTTGAACTGATGGTAAAACTAATGACATTATTTACTGTCTTTACATTTATTCTGAAAGATGAAGCTCGCGATTATGGTAAGGGGCGTTACATTTCCGACGAGTGCTTGCGGTGTTCGGCCAATCACAATGCACTGGGTCAGCTGGCCAATCAGAACAGACTGCGCTTGTCGGAAGGAGGGACTTTGTAGAAAACGAAGCGTTTGAGAGAGGCGGGGCATAGAGGACCTACAATAACGTACAGTATTTGAAAAAGAATTTGTTTTTTGAACATTAAAGCATGTCAACATATTCTGTTACACCAAATACACAAAATAATGATCTTTAAAAAAGCATCATATGACCCCTTTAATAAAATAACACAGCAAAACAGTAATTTTCCAGTCTAATAACAAGACATTAATACAGCACTTCATTGCTGCAGCAAAAATACGAAGCAGTTTAAACAAGCTGAGTTGTCTCTGTAAATACGCTTTAGACAAACAAAAGCTGTTCTTCCTTCACTTTTTCCATTTTTCAAAGATTATAATAAAACATTTTCCATTTGTTATGATGCGAATGGATTTAACAAGGCTGCAGGGAAACAGAAGAGCACAAAGCCAATTGTCAAATATAGCAGAGTTATGTGAACCTGGAAAGCAACAGCTGTGAGCTCCCGGAGCAGCTGTACTGTTGGGCTGACGGTTGGACGGCTCTGAGTCTGTGCAGTCATTTGGTTCTATAAACTAAGAGCTCTTAGGAGAATGACTTCACTCTTATATTATCTACCTCTGCTCATCTTCTGTCAGAATTCCTGTCTCTTTGTAAAATCTGCATTGACATTGATATTCACAAACGCTTGCACTTACATGCTTAGCCACATCTCCACCAATAGCTGTGCTGGTCCTCAAATATTCAGACACTGAACCACTCAGCAAATGGTCGAATGACTCCATGCTTTTGGATTCACCTTAAAATCAAAGAGAGATAGCAACAAAACAGAATTTATTCAACGGAATAAACAGAACAAGCAACACATCCAACAGAAGATGCTTTGAAATGCCATTCATTGTTGTGGATATTTCGATTTATATATGAAGACAATATAATATAGAGTTCAACCAATATTCTTTTTTAAGACAAGCAGATGATACATGATTTGCAGATCCCAATTTACAGACTCCAGCATATTTTGTGTATAATTTATTTGTTGTTTTTAAGATATCTGACACAAAAAAATGACAAATAAAATAACTACAACAAAAATCTTATTGCTGAAAATAAGAATTAATATTAAAATTATTATTGTTCTTATTATTAGTATTAATGTTATTGTTATTATTAGTAATAATGCCACTATTTAAATCATTTATTACAGAACCAATAACTCAAGTAGAACAATTTGGAGAAAAAAAAATGGTCAAACTAAATATAATCTATCACTAAAAACAAACACTGTGAAAACATTGAATTGCACACACAAACTCGAGACTGGAGGAAGCAGAAGAGAGAGTTCAGAAATCCCATTCACTGACATCCATATCCATTATATATTTCAGACTTTGTCAATGTGCAGTTTGCCAAGGCTAATGCCACTCTGTTCCAATGAGAATATTTTTCCCATGAAGAAAAAAAATCCCCTAAAAGTCTTCTCCTTAAGATAATCTGTACAGACAATGCCCAGTGGACTCATCAAAACAGACCACAACAGCATTTTATGCTTTATAAATAAAAACTATTAACATATTGAATAATTCAGGATCTGCTGTAGGGCTGCACAATTAATCGAATTTCTAATCGTGTTTACAATTATGGATGCCACAATTACGTAATCGTTCAAAGTGGCAATTAATCATTAAAAGTCATTAATCTATTTATGTTATTCTGCACGCTTAAGATATGTTTTTTTCTTTCTACATGTAATCTTAAGGGTTTTTCCATTGTTTTAGTTTTAGTTTTAGTATAACATTATAATACCATGCATATTTTTACTTTTTCTATAATTTAAAGAAGAAACCAATCCGATGTATATTTGACATTTGAGGCTTAATACTATAGAAAAGCACTAAAGGTTTTTCAGTTAGAGTGTTTTCAGCTTGTTTATTTTCATATAAAAATACGGCATGTAGTTGCATCAAACAATGGTATAAACATCATTCAGTGTAAATTGTGATAATCGTAATTAATAATCGCAATTACAATTTCAAGGGAATAATCGACAATTATGATTTTTGTCATAATCGTGCAGCCCTAATCTGCTGTACTTATGATACCTCCGTTGATAATGCTGCTGATGTCTCCGTTGACCAAACCCCCAGGACAGTTCTGCAGTTTGACCGCCACCGCCTCCAGACGAATTACTGCCTGCTCCAGACGCTCAACCAGTGTTTCCATGTCAACGGTCCTGGAGAAACAGAGCAAACACTTGGTCTGTGCTAAATGGCCGTTATGGCCTATGAAAGCTGTTTGATTTGTTGGGACTTCATGACCTGAGTACCAGTCTGTTCAATAAAACACTGTCTGCTCCCTGTAACGGTCAAACGACAGCAGAGAAACTTGACAACAATAATTATGAGGAATGTTTTATTGACTTTCTTGAGTCTGCCAGTGATGCCAGTCACTGCCATCATAACATCCACTATCAAAAATATAAAAAAATATTGTTATTACAATAATATTAATATATTATAATAAATGATAAAGTAGCTAATATTGGCTTTCTGCAAATCTAGCACTCACACAGACACTGTGAGTATATGAAGGCGTGGAGAGTTCACTGGCAGCCGTCCACATGACCACACCTCAATACTCATCTGCTGCCTAACAGGAATGTAACAGTCAATTCAGATATGACAGCGTCAAGAGGAGGCCACAAACTGTGCTGTTGACAGTCCAAAATCAGCAGTTTATCAAACTATTTAATTACATAACATGTTTATTATCCCCATATTAAAACCCTTTGAAAAGAACTCAACCAGAATGCTGTACAAACCATAAATATTGCTGCTATCTTCACATGTTTCAGCCTCCATCTGAGCACCGGATCAGCAAATACAAATTCTGTTCTATATTTGAAATGTTTTAGTCATTATTAGTCATTATTAATAAAAAAAAAAACCATCAAATCAGTCATTAGACCTGCTTCATTCATCTTTCATTTCTGACCTTTAGTCATTAAAAATGTTCATTAAAAACTATTCATTAAATCAAACTGACTTAAAGTGTGTGTGTGTGTGTGTGTGTGTGTACACAGAGAGAGAGAGAGAGAGAGAGATACATATCATACACACATACACTAAGTCAAAAAAGCAATAATGTATCAGCTAAAGTATCAAATATTTCACTATTTCAAACTGTTTTGGCTAACATCTGCATATACGAAATCAAATAGATGAAATCAAATTTGGCAGAAATGAAATCTCATGCTGGTATTTGAAGTCTAATAAACATCTTGTCATCATCATCATTCTTATTAGAGGAAAGAAGTGGAATTTAATAATCCAATCTGGTTCATATCATTGAACAATAATAATCACATCTGTCAGTACCTCTTTTGTGATCTCTTACATATCAAGGCAGCAAACTTGACTATCATACTCAATACTATTTTTTCTATTATTTATTAAAGAATGCATTGGTGGGTTTACAAGAAGTGAAATAGAGCAAATAAAAATCTGTAATGTGAATAATGTGAATATGTGAAGGAATATATTGTAGATTCCCTTTATGTACACACATTTAAACAATTATTCTGATTCAACTGGGAAGTTATATGTCCGTTACAAAAAACAGTGGAGTGGAAGAAAAGTCTGATATAACATAGAAATCAAACACGCAAATGAGCACAATCTGGCAAACAATATTATCAACTTATAACCTGACCACCTTCACACAATCAATCATCATACAATAGCAGTTAGGAGCTAACAGCACACTACACTGATTCATTCACCTGGACATTAAAGAGAGAATAGACAACAAATGAGCCGTATTTGCTGCATTTAACATGTAGCTTCTAAAAGAGCAACTCTCTCTGTGACACACGTCAGCAGTAATTAATAGTGACCCAGTGTGGAAACGCTCACGTCATCTTGTTATCTCTCTAGAGAATTCTCTAGGCCCTGCCAAATGCCTGACCTGGGCCTCAGCTGGGCTTTTCAGAGGAAGAATAAGCCCTGAGCTTGTGACACAGACAGAATCATTTCTAAAAACACAGGGCACCAAACCTCCAGCTTAAGCAGAGATCATCTAACCAGTGGCTACATGACTTGAGCACAGTGCTCAGCATTATAGGCTAAAAAATGACTCTAAATATCTAGTAGGCCTTTGTCAAATCAAATACTGCCTTCAACCTGGTTGCCTATGTGTGGTTAGTCTGCCATTAAACATGATAAATGCTGAACTAATATTTCAGGAGTGATGCAGTTACTAGGCACTCTTATCTATTTCTGAATGTCTATTCTCAGACTCTAAATGCAGAGCAATGCTTTACCCGGATACAGGGGATAGAAGGTGACTGAGGGTCTGAGCTCATGTGCTAATAAACATTTCAAAGCATATGCCTTGAATGCCAGTGTGACATCCTTTCAATAACACCCTGATTGCATACGGAATTAAAAAAAATATATATATGGACATCTGTAGCTCAACTTCTCAAGAAATTATGTAGGGACACTAATATAGATACTAATAATCTTTTCATGGGCTGTATGGAGGATATTCTGAAGAAATATGGTTTGTGCATCTACGTCATTTACATCACTTACCATGTTTGAATAACCAGGGGTATAGAAATGTTTTATGAAGAGGGGGGACAAAATGTGATGACTATCTCCCAAAAAGGTGGGAGTTGCGACATCCTGGTGACAACTACTACTGAATTTCACCTTTGTTATTAACATTCCCTTGCAAAATTGTATCTGTATATAGATTATTTTCTACATGCATATTTTGGCTATCTTGTCTTTTGTGTCCACACATATTTATATTAAAGGGGTCATATGATGCGATTTAAATTTTTCCTTTCTCTTTGGAGTGTTACAAGCTCTTGGTGCATAAAGAAGATCTGTAAAGTTGCAAAGACTAAAGTCTCAAATCCAAAGATATATTCTATATAAAAGTTCAGTCAATGGAAAATAATGTGTTTTTTTTTTACCTTAAACCGCATAAACACATTTCATTACAACAAATACACAAAATAATGTTCTTTTTAGCAGCATCATATGACCCCTTTAAATTTTTTGCGTAAATCTCCAAAATTCCTTGTGTGTTTAAGTAAACATACATGGCAATAAATCTGATTCTGGTTTAAACAAAATCATCATCATCAACATGAACCCAATGCATCTACTATTTGTATTAAAAATAACTTCTATACATATTTAATATAGCACAAGCATTAAAATCATTGGTAGTAGTATTTACATTTTTTTTATATTTTATATTGTTTTTATATTTTATAATATTTTTACATAATTTATATTTTGTAATAAATAATACAAATGCACAAATGTTTTCTTGAAACAAAGCTCTGAAATTGAGCAAATATGGTGATGGGACATATGTGACCCTGGACCACAAAACCAGTCAATAAATAAGCTTTCCATTGATGTATTGTTTTGTTTATTAGGATAGGACAATATTTGACTGAGATACAACTATTTGAAAATCTGGAATCTGAGGGTGCAAAAAAATCGAAATATTGAGAAAACCGCCTTTAAAGTTGTCCAAATGAAAATCTTAGCAATGCATATTACTAATAAAAAATTACGTTTTGATATATTTACGGTAGGGAATTTACAAAATATCTTCATGGAACATGATCTTTACTTAATATTCGAATGATTTTTGGCATAAAAGAAAAATCAATCAATTTGATCCTTACAATGTATTGTTGGCTATTGCTACAAATAAAGCCTGCCTACCCAAGCTACTTATGACTGGTTTTGTGGTCCAGGGTCACATATTATGTATATATATAAAATAATATTAAAAAAAAGGAATATTAATTGTTCTGAAATCTAGTCAATATACAAGCACACAAGGGGAGTAGGCTATGTCACCCTATTGATTTATAATAATATTAACATATAAGAATTGCTACTAGACAGCATCACTTGAAATGTAGCGCATGGCATGTCTAATAACAGAGCTAAAGTAACTAGCCCGTCTCGTCGTCATCTCTATCCCACAGGCAGCAGACGCCTGCACGCGCTGATATGACAACTGACAGATCCTGCAATTAGTGAAAAGATAAGGCACCCTGCCCTCTGACACCAACACACCACTGCTGCAACCTAAAAATCGTGCTAGTTCAAACCAAATTGCTGCCAGCACAGCGAGTGCGCGTGTCTCCAAACACAAAAACGCACGTTTCCATGAGAACCTCCCACCCGCTCAGAGCGCGAGGCGCGACCCAAAACGTCCCGCTAACGACCTGGAAACATAACATGACTGAGACAGAGTCATTCTTACCCAAATATTACCTCTGACAAGGGATCCGGGGTTTACTCTCACGTTTTCTTTAGAAAAAGCGAGATGTGTTTCGGCTATGGCGGTCTGGTCCAGACGTCCCCGGCGCTCTCCTGCTGTCACTCAACTGAGCCTTGGGCAGCCGCTTCCGGGACTTCCGTATTTGGGAAGGATGAATCAGAGAAAGGTTACATCAAGATGCCTAGATAGAGCAGCGAGACAGTTCGACTGAGAAGGTTTCTAAGGACATCTTGACTCTTGATTGTGCCACCTTGAATGACAGTAATATATACTGAAAGAATAGCAACCACCTATTGAGTAAATATGAAAATATGACACTGAATGCCACTAAATGAATTTCAGAAGGTGTTTTTCTATCTATATGTGAATAGTTTTATTACAAGTGTCAAAATTCCTGGAAAAATAAAAGCTTGGCATAATCTTTGAGCTTTTTTTAAATAATAAATGTTGAAGCAAATTATAAAACGCATATTATTAGCATAAACATTATTAATAATATACTTTTGTGTGCCAAAAAGTCAGTATTCAAGCCACTTTTTTGTCATGTAAAAAAAAAACACACACACATAAAAAAGCTAAACCCTAAATATCACCATATTAGGTCAGATAGTAAAATATTAACTTTTCTGTTTGTTTGTTTGTTTGTTTGTTTGTTTTTAATAGTGATTGTTTATGCTTGCTGTTTTCAAGGTGCAAGGATAAGTAAATATTTTAGTGTTTTACCTGTCACTAAATAAAAATTTTATAGAAAATATTCAATATCAAAAATATAATTGAATAGTAAAATATGCAAATACTAAATATCAAAATATGAATATATTAATATAAATATTATTGAAACATAAATGTATTAAGCCAATATGAACACAAGGATAACAAACATTTGTAAGAACTTGTTACATGGTTTGAGCTAGACTTTTTTTTTTTTTTATTACCGTTTATCATCTCAGACATCCATATTTGTCAGAGAATACTACTGCACTATAGAACAAAATGTAAAAATAAATATATGCATACATAAACTGCATTGATGATCATTTTGTTACTTTTGTTTATTAGTTTATTCAATTTCCATTACCTATTGAGCAACTAATTATCTACACTCCACATTTGCTTCATTGCACTTTTGACACTACAACAGATTATGAAGTAATCTGCCTGTCAGCCGGTATCAGTGCCTTTATTCTGCATCAGTTCCCGGTGGCGTTTTCTTCCCGCGGTCCTGTGCTATCATGGCCGACGTTAGACAGGCATCCCTGGTGATGGTGTGGTGGAAAGTTTCCGCTGCTGCTGTCACAGTGGTACTGAAACACGAGCTAGCATCAGGTTACACAGCGGGCAGAAATAGAACATCCTCGAGAAGTACCAAGTGCACAGAAAGGCTCTAAATAATTAACTGAGCCACTGCGGGTCTTCAATATGCAAAATGGCGTTGAAAGGAATACAGGTGCTGGGTTGGTTTGGGTTTTAAGTACAGATAAAACATGCGTGAGGTTTATATTTAAATTTAGGATTGAGTTACATGGGATGTCAGACTGGATTGGAATTTAGGGCCGGTTTATGGTCATTACCCAAAGTGCTCTGTCCTGAACATTAGAAGACTGGCTACAACTAGGTCAACATGGTGGATCTCAGATCCATCACACATAGCGATTTGGCTCAAACATTGCTCAATCTATCTATCTATCCCGTATGAGGTTCACAAACAACACGCATACACAAATTTGCTTATACCATCACCTGACTAGTCATATTAAATTATATTTAGTGATTCTGGCGACATGTGTTTACACAAACACATTCGTTATTCATCAGCCATCTGAAATCAACACTTAATCATGTGTTTATTCAACATGTCTCCCTTCTCTAGTTTAAACAAGCAGGGTTCATTTGAATCATTTGGCAATGGAGCAAAACAGAATACATTTCACAAATGAAGTAAACGGAACTATCGCTAAAGGAATATTTGCAGTTCAGTACAAATTAAGCTCAATCAACAGCACTTGTGGGGTTTTGTTGATTACATTTATTCAGCCTTTTTTAACTCGCCTCTCATTTTCTTTCACAAAAAGAGTTTATAGTCATGCACTTACAATGGAAGTGAATGGGGCTCACTGTTTCAATGTGACAGCCACATGATGTAGAGAGGTTTTCAAGTTAACATGCTTTTAGAGTGAAGAAAAAACTGCTTAATCTTTACCGCAGGAAGTTCCAATTTGTACAACATCTTTACAGATCAAATAATACATAAGTTTTAACAGAAGAATTTATGTAAGTGCTTTTGTAAAATAATAAACATTATCCTCCAAAAATGGCCCTATTCAATTCCATTGCATGTATCTCACCATAAGCTTGATTTAAATCAAGAGTTGAGTTATTGATTGATTGCAGTTTAACCAGAGGAAATAATGTATTTTCATTTATTTTTAAATGGAATCTTAAAACTTCAAATTTCTGCTTTTAAAAACTGGCCACGTTTACTTTCACTGTTAGAAACTTTGTGTGTGTGTGTGTGTGTGTGTGTGTTAACAATGGGCAAAGTGTGGCAATCAACATTATGCCACAAATGCTGTCTGTTTTAAAAGAAGAAATCATTGCAATTATAAAATTATAAGCTTTACATTTCTGCTTTATATCCTCTATAACATTGGCCCATTCACTTCCATTGTAAGTGCCTCACCACAACCTTTTTTTTTTTGTGTGCGCGCGTCCAAATAATGTTTTGTGCTAATCGATATTAACGGTCACAAAAACTGTTGATTGAGCTTAACTTGTAATGAACCCTGAATATTGCTCTACCAGCTCCATTATTAAGCAATGTCTGGACAGGCAGAGATGAGGTCAGTTAAATTTGTCACCTCACAAACCAGCATAAACAAGGTCATAAATAAGCATCTCGGCGTGCGGCGAGGACAAGTGACAGCCTGTGTGTTTATACTGTTGGCTTGCTGAGAATATCTGCTTCTTTTTCACGACACCTTCCACGAGAAACACACAACAGCTTGTTCTTCATCACTGCAGTGGTAAAGCTACCGCCTGTCTAAACAAAGACCATAAGAAACAAAACATGAGCACTTTTAAGCCATTGAAATATTTTGCAATTCACCATATGAACCGGGAAGAATCAATGATGTAGCAATGACCTAGAATGTGTGCTTTTGAAATACAATGAATAAGTTACACAATATAACAATCCAAACCATGAGCACACCATCCAACAGATCCAAAAGCTGTTTCCCAATGGAAACAGTGACAAAAATCAGGCCTGTGCAATGAACAAAGCATTTGAGGTTTAAATATAGAACCTTTTATTTCCATTTAGAGTAAATAGTGTTGAAAATCTGAAATAAGGCTTAAATACCTACAGAACGTTCGTATTTAAATAGTCATTAACGCTTTACATGCCCAAATCCAGTGACAATGAAAAAAGTCCTTTGTGTGTTGTTATTCTTCTTTTTTCATATTTTCCCTTGTAAGAAAGAGTTCAAGTATAAAAATTCTCAACAGTGTAAAATAGCCCATTTGATGCATATTTAAAGCAATAGAAGCACAGCATCCATCCTCGACACTGACAATACATTCTAGTGTATGAAGCAGCATGTCCTTTAGGTTTCGCCAAGTCTTTTTTTTTTTGTCCTTTCGCCAAGTCTTTTAAACAGTTCTGGATATGACAAATGGCGATGCATGCCCGAAACAACAGGCCTGCAATAAAATAAATGTCATACGATAGGCATTACACTAGCTGATATTTAATGTCGTGTTCTAAACTTCCAAATGTATAAAGAAAAAAAAAAAAAAAAAGAATAGTACAGTGCACATACAGAATTGTATCTTAAGTCCTACACCAACATTTTTGGTTGAGTATGTTAATAATACTACAGCTAAGCCTACTCAATAACTTATAATAATATGCCATGAGATGAATACATTATATCCATACAGTACCGCTTCCAAGTCAGTGATCTTAGAGCACAACATAAGTCAACTCAAAATAAATATCTTAAATAGCAGATGTCTTTAAATAGCATTACAAATGTAAGGCACACAAAGAACCCTAATAAGCACGGATTCGGATCCTTTCACTATAGTGCTGTTCTGTAAAGAGTTGCTCATTGAAATACATAGACCTTATTACCTGTGCTGGTGCTCAGACATATTTCTTAGTGAACATATAAAGACCAGGCCGATAGCGGTTCATTGGTATAGGGTAAAAAGCTTGCAGGAACCCCCCTCCCTTATCGCGGATCCTCGTCGTGTTCCAGATAAAGATCCGTCGCTGATATCGGGAGGATGCACAGGTCTGTCCTCAAGCTTCTGGACCCTCTCTAGGAAGATAAGAAGAGTTGACAGACCCGGTGTCCAGGGATGAAACTGACAGCTCAATAAATGAGCACCAGTGATCTTTCCAGAGCACTCCGACTGTGTGTGTGTGTGTGTGTGTGTGTGTGTGTGTATCAGTGCCTGTTCCTTCCAACACAGCAATTGCTCCCTGATTCTAGTACTAGTACTGAGCACTGCCCCATGCTTTTTTTCCCTACGTCGTCATCTTTGTGTATGCGTTTGTGTCCTCCCTCGCCCACAGACAGACATTAACACTTAAATTTTTGTGTAACGGTGTACATGTTAGTCCGTGTGTTTTGTAAGCATATAATACAATACGTCTCAGTCTTTTTGTCTTTTCGAGAGTGCCTTCAAATTGTTCGATGCCCATTGTGGGGGAGCAAAAGAAAATCTCTCCTGTTCCTGCACTTTGTTTTGTCCCCTAGCGGCCTGTTTGCTTTGCATAGGTCAGGAGGTCAATACAGGAGTCAGAGAAAGGGGGGACATTCAGCATCAGATAGATAAAAAGGTAGTTCACAACACATAAAACATGCTAACACTGGATCTTTCTCCATTTCGCCACAGTTAGGTCTACTATCCCTGATTGGCAGAGTGTGTCGTTTCTAAATCGCTGAAAAATGCTCCATTTCCCTGATGATCAAAAAAAATGCACTTGAGAAGAAAACAGAACAAAAAGAGCCCTCAAAAATTAGAATAAATATAAAGGTAAGGGGCCCTAGAATCAAAACAATGTGGGACATTTCCAAGAGTCCTTCGGAAAAACGGTCGCCTACATTAAATGACAGCATCGGGACTTAAGGTTTCGTCTACAACGCACCTATACCACAGTGATTAGTCGCTGCATACCTCTTTTCGCAATAAATATCCTACTCTAATATTAATTATAGTAATAAAGATAACATAATAATGATAATGATAATAGTAAAAAGCTAGATTCCGTCCTTTTCTGCAATCTTATTATTTTTTTTTTTCTTTAATCACAGCAAGTTGGAAAGCAATGGAGTTCCCATCTCACTAATAATCTTTCTATCAATTACTATCCCCTTCCCGTATGCCCCTCGTCTTCCTCCTCTTGCAATCAACCCACAACCAGCAACTATTTTCATCACCATCCTCTTCATCATCTAGTAGCAGTCGCTGGGCGTCGATTCCCGGCGCGTCTCCCATCCGTCTCTTTGGTTGCTATTGCATCCGTTCGGCTTGCAGCTGCTGGGGCTGGTATTGACCGAAGGACGCAGCTGCGGCTGCAGACCCCGGCGCGGCGGTGGCCAGTGGCTGCTGCATGGCGTAGCCATAGCCGGCGGTAGCTACGTAGCCGGTTGCGGCAGGAGAGGCAGCGTATGGGTACTGCTCATAGGCTGCGGCAGCCGCAGCGGTTGCGGCACTGGCGTACTGTGCGTAGGCTGCACCTGTGTAGTCGATGTAAGGTGAGGACGCGGTGGTGGAGGTTGCCGCTGACTGGATGTGAGGGATGACCACACTGGGCTGCATGAAGGCCTGCGGGTACACGTAGTGAGTGGGGATCCTGTGAGAGACAAACACGACAGCATGTCAGCAATGCATTATGGACAAATGCAGAACCACAACCACAGCGCGGCCAAGCACCCCATTTCCACAATTCAGTAACACCAAGGAAATGCCTGCTAGTGATTATTAGAGATATAAGGTTGCCAAAATAGACATCTCCCTGTACAATTGTAATTTCCGTGCCATTAGCTGTACCAAATAATAACTGTCATCAGACAGGTTTTTCCCAAATTCACCCATGTGTCATTGGTTAAACAAGTGGACAAGAATGTGTTGGTTTGTGTTTTTAATATCTATTAGTATTAACTCAATAATACAGGTTTTTAAACTATAGTACCTTTTAAATGTTTTGTTAGCTAACAGATTCGTCTTGTATTGTAGTTTAGCAAAATCATCTGCTGAAGTCTATTGCAGATATAGATACTCATATATATATATATATGTGTGTATAAACTACAGTTGCAGACACACAGGCAACTTGCTCTCAAGAGTTCTTTGACCATTCCAATATGGCAGACGGCTTACGTATAGTGGCCCATAGAATCAGCCACTAATAGGGCATCTACCTATACATATCTATGGTTGCTAAATTGGGCTGGTCGAGACACTTCAGCAGAGCAATGCTTTGATAGCCATTGCTTACATTTTTGAGACTTCAAAAAAAAAGAAAAAAAAAGAAAACTGAGACAGGTATTTTAATTTAAACCAAAAAAAAAAAAAAAAAA